GAATTTGGAGGTCTTGCTGAATAAGCCTGTTTGAAGAGAAAGGTGCTTATTCAAATGTAGGTTAATCGTTTGAAAAAAAAAACACAAATAAATGGAAATAAAAAAGCAATTTAGTGCACTTGTAATATATTATAAGGCACTAAAACTTTTAGGTGACTTCTATTTTGAGACTCAAATAAATCACCCTTTTGTTTTTCAAACAAACCTTATTTTTTAACATCAACTTTTTTTGTTGTTTTTTTAGATGTAATTTTTTTTACATGTCTATAATTTTTTCTACAGGTAAAAGTCCCTCATTGACATGTTCCTTTAAGAGCAGGCTGAGCTGAGAGCAGGTGGTGGGGGTGAGGGGGGCTCTGGAGTTCCCCGTGAGGCCGCTAGGTGCGTCTCTGCTCCACGGAAGCTCGCGACAGAGACTCACTGGTGGAGGGGAAGGAAGGAAGGGAGGGAGGGAGGGAGGGAGGTGTGTGTGTGTACGCGCATGCATGTGAGTGTGTGTGTGTGTGTGAGAGAGAGAAGACGGTGTTTTATCAGCCAAGTGCAGCCTGAATCGTGAGGAACGGACGATGGGGAGAAAAAAAAAATCCTTCCTTTTTGCCTCCAACATCCTTAAGATGTAGACCTGTGCGCGTGCGGACACCCGGAGCGTGATGCTTTATTTATTCCCTCTGCTGTCACGGAAAAAAATATTATCCTTCAAACAGTTGCGAATTAAAAAAAAAAAACAATTTGGATTAATGCTGCACTTGTTTTTTTGGGGACTAAAAAGCGGGGTTTCCTTCATTTGTGTGCGTGTGGATTGGAGGGGATCTGCTGTGAGTTTTGTGCCCTCTGAAGTGAGAAGTGTTGGTCAAGGGCTTCTCACCAACACCTGAGCGTCCGGATTCCTTTTTATCCAGAGGAGCGGGAATTATGTGGCTTTTGGGAGGAAGTGGTGTTATCCTAACGGGACGGAACGCACAGAGGAATATTGTGTGAGGAGGAGGAGGAGGAGGAGGAGGAGACGGCGCGCGGATTGGGATGCTTTCTGACGGTAAATGCACGCTCACAGCTCCATGAAACATGAAGTCATTTTTTTTAACAGAGAAAACCCGAGCAAGTGCAATGCAGAGGACTGATCCTGGTGTTTTAGTTCTCTGTTCTGCCCCTAAAGACAGAATCGCCCCGACGATGTGCGGGAAGTTCATGAGTTGAAATCATCATTCAGTGTTATTTCTGAAGGGAATAATCATGCGTTTTGAGCGTGTGCGCGTGTGGAATGGTAGGATTCGCGCGTTGGAGAGCGTCCCGCGCCTTGAAGAGCCACTTTTGGTTATCTGCTCCAAGCGCGCAGAGTTGCGCACAGTCACAAGTGCAAGCTGCGCAAAAATAAAATAAAATAAAATGAGCGGGAAATCAAGGCTATTTGGTGTAAATGGATTAATCCAATCGTTTCATGACCAACATGTGGATCGTGTGTGTGCGCGTGCGTGTGTGTGTGTGTGTGTGTGTGTGTGTGTGTGTGTGTGTGTGTGTGTGTGTGTGTGTGTGTGTGTGTGTGTGTGTGTGTGTGTGTGTTGTGGTTAAAAAGGGTCTCTCCTCTTCTCCATGAAGTAGGGGGGGAGGAGGAAAGTTGTGCCTGTGGGCTGCTGTGGGGGCACCATCACCATATCAACCTGGATGAATGCAGTAGTTGTTTGCCTCAGCAACATATCCCATAACAAATGCAGCACAGAAATAATCTGGATCATTTGGTATAGTCCCAATCTTTGATGACATGATTGATATTATTGCCTGTCTCAAATGAAGGGAAGGTTTTGACTGTTTGTGTGACTGCCTGTCATTGAATTATCTTGTGAATCGATAGAAAGATTTTTTCAAGCTTTCAGATACATGTACAACTGAATATATATTTTAGAGTCAGCCCTATTCAAGATGGCTGCCAGAACAATTTGACTTTAGACAGCATAAAAATGGCTACAACTCAGTTTTACAGATAATAAAGTTGTATTTGGTGTGCTAGGAGCTGAGACTGATTCTCAACACATAGAACTATAGAAATCTGTACAAACTTTGCCTTTAAGGGTTTGGAACCAAATTTGTTGGTTGGAAAATATCTCATGAACCACTGAACTCATTTTAATGAAACGTCCAGAAAGTAATAAACCTACAGCTGATTAGCTTTTGGAGTCATGTGGAATCAAGATGGTTGTCACAGCCAGCTGCTATTAGACAACACATACAAATGCTACAACTCAGTTTTATCAATGATGACATACAATTTTGCGTGAATATAGCTGAGACTCATTAACAACACAATTATGCCAAGTTCTACTTATGTAAATTTTTTGCCCTAAAACTTTTAACATTCACTTTTGCAGTTAAGCCTATTTAACCAGGGTCTTCTGCATATTCCAAGTTGTGGTGGCAGCAGCTTGAGCAGGGAGGCCTAGACCTCTTTCCCCAGTCCCCTATTCCAGCTCTTCTAGGTGGATTCCAAAGTGTTCTGAAGGACAAACAGAGACATTGTCTCTCCAGGGTGTTCTGGGTCCTTCTCTGGGTATCTTCCCAGTCAGACATGCCTAAAGCACCTCCCTAGGGAGGCATCCCTACAAGATGAGCCACCTCAACTGGCTCCTTTCGATGTGGAGGAGCAGCAGCTCTGCTTTGAGTCTTTCCCCTAATTGCCTGTATGCAAAATATCTGACAAACCACTGGACAAATTTGAATTAAACTTACAGAAAAAAGAAATCATTGACTGAACATCTTAAGTGGAGGAGTTTAAGTATCTGGGGATCTTGTTCACGAATGGGGGAAGAACGGAGCGGGAGATTGACAGGCGGATTGGCGCAGCGTCTGCTGTAAAGCGGGCGCTGTACCGGTCCGTCGTGGTGAAGAGAGAGCTGAGTCAGAAAGCGAAGCTCTCGATTTACCAGTTGATCTACGTTCATACCCTCATTTATGGTCATGTCATAACCAATAGAATTTTAAACATTTTTCAACCTCTCTTTTTGGAGC